CAATGCGCCCTGGGATATTATTTTCTTGTTGTGGAACACCGTCTTTCAATTGTCATCAGTCGTCATACTGACGGCTTGCCCTGCATGTAAAGCGAGGCCGGACCCATTGCCTTAGATCTAGTGCTCGTACTGAATTATTTTCTCTTTCCAACTTCTTTTGGTGCTAAGTTAACATTAATTTTGAGGCACTCTACACGATCCAAAGATCTGCCCGTTTTCTCTACTCGTTTTCTCTACCGCATGAGCTTCATGAATATAAGAAAAAGACTCTCCTTCCTGTGGAGATGATTTTTCGCCAAAAACTTCAAAATGAACCGTATTTCCATCTTTAACACATCTTTCAGGCCTATTAAGTTCTCGGTACCATGGTTTAGGCAAGAGTATCGTAAATGGTAGCGAAATCTTGTGCTTCGGTTTCAAATAGCTATTAGTGAGGCTCAATCACTAAAAGTCCTCAGATTCGTAATGCATAACCAAGAGCACAAAAGGAGTGCAGGCCCGGAAAGGCACGGAGCAGAAGCGTCTAGCGAAATCCCCAAATTCGAAGAGAATGCGAATGGAACAGGATGCCGCTCGCATTCGTTGGTACGAAGGTGGACAAGGAGGACAAGGTATGTCGAGAATTGGGTTGCCGCTTTCTCTACCCTGGGCAGTAACAATACGGAAGTCACAAGGGCTAACTTTGGAGAAGACAGAGGTGAATATTGGCGAACAAGGAGCGTAATGTCTGTCTGTCGTTTGTTGCCCTCTCGAGAGTAACAACTACGAATTCGCTAATCGTGACAACAATCAAATATGAGCAATTAATCTCTGCAGGAATTGGAATGAATGAGAAAGACTTCAGACGCCAGGATTGACAGGATCTCAATAGTTTAACCGAAAAAACGGCAAGAATCGGTTTTTGTTGTCTACTGATAAGATATATAGAGAAAGAAACGGGTCTTTGTGCATCAATGTAAGAGGGGATCTCTGTCCTTGAATATGATATCGAATTCCATATGATACAGAATCAGGTTGGGCTAAATGAATAGGAAATATTTGACCTATAGAGACCTTCCCAAGCCTCTTGCCAAATTATCCCGTGTTCCTATCCGCTGGATGAATAAATGTATTGTGGAAAGTGAATGTCAGGTTGAAGTCAATCTCAAAAGACAACATTGGCTTCCATTATTTCTATGAACCATTGCTAAAATTACAATTCGGCATCTCTTTGGCATTTCTACGAACTACTCCACGCGATTCGGAGCAATGCATTTCTATTTCGGAGAACCGATCACAAAGAGAACCAATTCAGCCCCGGATATGCTCTCAATGTTTTCTGTTTCCCTTCTCGTCGTTCCTTTATTTTATGAAACTCGCAGTTGAAACTTAGAGAACATCCTGCAGTACTTCCCAGTCATACCTATTGCAAATATGAAGTTCACACAACGTCCCATAAAAGAAATTTCCGCCATTGCTTCATCCAACATTTTAGTCGGCAATCCGGATAAGGGTGCAAGTCCTTCGGAGTCACGGAACATGTATTCCCACGCACGTTCGCCGGCGTGAGAGGAGTTGAGCCTATGAGGAGACTGACACAGAGCAGAAATGCGTGTTGCCGTATATCCGCGTCACTTCCAGTTCTCCAGAATTGTAACAAAGAATTCATCTGCTACAGGAGAAGGCAAAAGTAAAGGCAAATTGGAAATTCCGCTTTCTCCTCACTTCTGGAAATGCATTGGAGGCGAAGATCATCCATACATAGTAGGTGACATGCATTAAATTCGTTTAATTAGGTTGTTTTGGGTTTCGAGTGCGGTGTTTGTTGCATAAAGCTCATGAGAAAATGGATAAACTTAATGCTAACTTATTTGGTGCATTTGTGTCCAAGCTCATGTAGTAGCTCGTATCATTTCAGTCGGTGGACTTTAGGTTCTCCGTTATCGATATAATTTTCGACCATCAATACCTTTCAAGGATGTCTTCAGTTGCATACCCATGCGCTTATCCTCAGGTGAGTTCGGGGCAAGTCTGTTTCCTTTCCGATAAGGAATTCCTGCAATCTACGGTGGAGTCCATTTTCATATTTTCCGTGTAATACCAGTACGTTTCAAGGCCCTCCAGAGTGGCAGGCACGTGAAGCGAAAAATCCATGCGCGCGCAACGTATCTGAGACAGGGGGGTATCTGAGCCGTCTCCTTCACTTGCCTTCCTGCAATGAAAGCTGGTGGATGATTCTCTAAAAGTTTTCGCTCTTTCATTCAGGGTGTCTCAGAATTGACTGAACACGGGGGGTTTCGTATCCGGGCCGCTCTGACCTAGACCTCTGCTACCTTAGCTTAACGCGCCGAGCCTACAAGAATATGTCTTTCTAGACCATAGGTTAAACGAAAGGATACGGAATGCGTCAATGCTCAGTCAATCCTGAGAAACACTCTACAGTGAATCGCGCATTGAGAAAAAATGAGCAAAAGCGGCGGCCAATCTTGTATTGTTCGGAGATGTAGCCATACATGGGGTAATTCGAGGAATAGGGTCCCTTCCATAACATTCCACAGAGTTCGAAAGATCTTGACTCTAGGAGAAAATGGCTTGATTCTTGCGGTCGCACAGATTTGATGGCTCGATCAAGGATTTTCATTTGTTCTGACCACTTCGACTGTCATGATTTTCTACCATCTCAAACTACTAAGGTTCTTCGAAATCTTAAAAAGGCGTACTTTCATCTAGAAATCTCACGTATGAAACCATGGACATGGGAGAGATCAATGTAGACATTCGGAGTCAAAATCCTGCTGAACCACAAGAACAGCGAGAGTGTAGTAATGACCTGCAGCAGGCTGTCATACCATGTCAAACCTGTCCAAAGCTCAGGAAAAAATTGCGAGCAAAAATCAGCTAAATTACAAAACTGAGATCGATGTATCGTATCGTCCAATCCGAGAAATCCAAGTTGAAAAAGGAAATGAAGACTCTCAGGAAAAGGTTGGTGGATGACGCATCAAAGTCACGAACCAAATATCTTTCTAATGAGATCATCTCTAGTCATTTCTTCCCTGCTCAAATTCATCTTCTGAAGGGAGGGAAAAGGCCCAAAGAATGGGAATCAACGGTGCTGAGACAGGCTGTATGCCTCAGAGCCTTGTCCCCAAAAGCATACACATACGTAAAAGAACATCTGCGTTACCCACTCCCAGCTTTGTCCACTCTGGCAGCCTAGTTAAGCAAAATCATAAAGTGTTTTCCAGAAATCCAAGTAGAAGTCCTGGAGTTGATGGAACAACGAGGGCGCAGCATGGACGAACTCCACAGAATGTGCGTCTTAAGTTTAGACGAGATGAAAATCGACTACAGATGGTGCTATGACTCCTCTTGCGACAGCTTGTATGCTCCATGCAATCAGATGATGGTTGCCATGGCAAGAGGGCTATTTTGCTCTTGGAAACAGCCAATTTTTTATGACTTTGACTCCAAGATGGACAACAACTTGTGGGTTTCAGTTGTGAAGGCATTGCATGTTGCAGGTTTCATTGTTGTGACAACTGTATGTGACATGGGTGCGCAGAACATGACCCTATGGAGACAGCTTAACATCACAATGGAAAAGAGCCATTGCTGCCACCCTTGTGATCCTGCCCAACCTGTCTTCTTTTTTGCTGATGCCCCTCATCTTCTAAAACTCGTCCAAAATCATTTTGTTGATCAAGGGTATCGTATTGGCGCAACGACCTTGACCAAGAAGCCATTGGAGGAACTAGTGTCTCTGGAAAAGGAGGATGTAAAAATATGCCATAAAATATCTTCAAAGCATTTGAATTTGTTGACTACTGAAAAACAAAGAGTGAGACCTGCTTGTGAACTAATGTCACACACGGTCGCAGAAGGTCTCAGGCCTTATCTCCCTCAGCAAGACAAACTTGCTGATTTTATTGACACTGTGAATTCATGTTTTAATGTTTTCAATAGCCGACAGTCAACAGATAATATGCCTGGAAAGTCCGGATATGGATTGAAGTTGTCCAAGCAAGATGCAGTTCTTGATGAGATGCTTAACCTGTGTCAAAGCATGCGAGTTCCAGGACGTAAAAGTCTCTTGCCTTTTCAGAAAGGCGTTGTGACGTCCATCAGTTCGCTCCGTGGACTTTTTAGTTTTGTTCAACACCATTACAAGGCAACATATATTTTGGCAAGCAGACTCAATCCGGACTGCCTAGAAAACTTCTTCGGACAACTCAGGGCTCTCGGACGAACTTGTGTCAATCCAAGTCCAGTCTCGGCACGACATAGATTCCGGTCATTGCTCTTAACAGGTGGAAGGAATATAGTCCGTATCGAGGGGGCCAATGTATTTGAAGTGAAAGAAGATGGCTTCCTTAATGAGGAGGCTGTTCAGCATGACGCTGAGACAATTCCGGATTCTCGTGATTCAGAAGGAAACCCGTTGGACATTTCCTACAACTTCCTCCCTACAGAAGCAACTCTTTTAAATGACACCCAAGAGGAGGAGGATGAAACTGATCTGCTCGATTCCGTTGAAGTAGATGTCATTGCCGATGATGACGTGAACAATGAAGCTTTGCAAAAAGTTGCAGACTTCATTGCTCTTAAGCTAAAGAAAAGCCATCCAGAGCTTGGTAGTACGAGTGAGCCTGTTTCTTGCGCTTGGCTGGATAAAATCTGTAAGGGGGGACTCACTCAACTCAGTTCTTCTTGGCTAGAAGCAGTGCAGAAACTGGAGAAGGAGTTCAAAGCCTGGCACGGGGAAATTTTCAGAAGAGGGGGGTATTTGATTTCAGATTTGGTGCTCCACAAGAAAAAGACTTATCCCGAAACCCCCGAAGATGCAGTGCCTCTTTTCGTTCGCACTAGAACTTTTTTCAGAATCCGAGGTCTGAATGCTGAAAAGGAAGCGGACAGAGGACGAAGGAAGCGGGCAAAACTGTGCATCTTGCAGAGCTGAGACGCTTTTGCAAGGGTATTGAGTTCTTTTTATGCTCCTGTTCTCCAGGCTAATTTTATTCTGGGCGAGTAAAGGGCCACAAATCAGACAAATTTTTTTTTCGTTAGCTTCTTTGAAATTGTATGCATGCCTGTATGTCGTGAGATGAGATGAGACAAATCTGCATTTTTAATCCATGGGTTCCACAGGGAACTACAGTTTCTCTTCTCAAGCGATTCCCGTACCAAATATCCATTTATACCGGGGAATATGTCTGGCAGCGAAGAACACGCGCATATGGAAGTGGGGCTTGTACATTGATACCCCACTCAGAGGCTTATCATGCCGTCACCTCAGCCTTGTCTGATTCTCTATTTTATATATGTCACCAAAAGCATGAATTAACGTTCGATATTATGCCCGAAAAAAGAGAACAAGAGCAGTTGATATAAGGAGAGGCGACAGGGGTTCACCGCACGTTCCTTCACGCACTTTCACATGCCGCACAGGTATCTGAGACCCCTCCGAGCTGTCAGGCACGTGAGCACTCTGGAGGGCCTTGAGTACGTTTGACAACCGAAGCTTGCTTTTCACACTTGAATATTCCTCGAGTTAGATGACAAAAAAAGGAAGAAAGAGTGACGGAGGAGGAACGACCTGCGTTGAACATTGTCCATCTTGGGTTGATTTTTTTCGACGGGAATAAAAAAAAATCTCTCCTACAACGCTTTGCATTAGCGAAGTCTCAGGAAATGCACTTCATCTGGAGAGAATTACTTCTCTGAAACGAGATGGCGATTGCAAAATTAGACAATCGCCACGATGAACGCCGTTCAGTCGGGAACGAGAAGGTTGGAAGGCTGGAGGACTGAAGGAGGGATTCCACTCTCACTCTTCCTTTCACTCGCACGATCAGACGCGAACTGTCACTGAAAACATGCAGAGAGCTCATCGCTTCGCGCACTCGAGTATGAATCCCGATGATGTTGGCACCAGTTTTGTCAGTAATCCGGTGGTCGTAGCGGGCTTCCCCGAGGATGCCATGCTTGGGGGTCGCCGGGGTTTCCGGATTCTTGGAACTCGAGGGTGCCGGTTTGGGCTTGGTGGCTCCGCTCGATTATCTTGTGTATCCTCAGCTCTCTCAGGGACGAGTTGCATTTGTGGACGGCCAGACTTCCGCCGATGAAGCTGAAAACTAGAAGAATGTAAATTGAAGTCAGCAAATGCAACATCGAATGGGAGCTATACTGTATATATACAGAGTGTCCCATAAGTCTGGAACCATAGGGTAAGATAAGAAAATTCAGAGTGCTGCACATATGCGGGAGCACATCATCGACGCATGTAACACCATCACTCCTGACACCATTCGAAATGTGATTGCTGACTGGATACCTCGTCTGCATTTGTGTATCAATCACACATGGTGGACACATTGAACACATTCTGTGAATACAAGTTATCATCATTTTGCCCTATGGTTCCTGACTTATGGGACACCCTGTATATGAACTGATAACATGAGAGGATATAATCCAGTCAAGACCCCAATATCATAAGTAAGATTTACCCTTAATTACCCAGTGGTTAAAGTACTTTGCTCATTAGTAAGCTTATGAGTAAACAAATATACGGTCATCAACAGGATCAAAAATAAAAAAAAAATTATATTATGTAGCATAAATAAAACCATAGATAATTTAGAAATTAGTGTAGCTGAAAATCCTTTAGTTAGCATACTTATAGGCCACCCTGTATTTTCATCTACACGTTATGAAAAGCCCATGTTCATAACACCTGAGGGAATCCCTACCTTCAGACCAGAATTGGATCGTGTAACATAACATCCTGTCCACCTTGGATTTCGAAAGTTTTCTTATGAAGCCAAAAAAAAGGGAGAGGGTTCGTGAAGGAGACAACATTATTGCGTTACTCACTGGCAGAAATAAAAAATCCGATGATGCGGCCATGGTTCCAGATGCACATACACACCGCACCCTTCCCATAGTGATCCTCGCAATATTTCTCACAATCTAGATTGGCCAGATCGATGGCGAAAGCGATCCCAAGCACGAGGAAGAGGAATGCGAATGCGACGAGCACCCAGCCAGCGTTCCTGATCCTCCTCGCCGTCTGACACACAAAATCCTCGCATCAGACAAGTCAGACGCGAAAAGAGCAGAGAAAAAACTAACCATGACGGTGATGGTGTGGACCCCGCACCCGCACGAAATCTGCAGGGGATCCTGATCCGCCAACACGACGATCGTGCTCGCCATCTTCTCCCGTGAGAAATGCAGTCGAGCGCTTCGCAGCAGAGCGACTAGGAATGCGGACGAGTCCGAATGATAAGCGAGCTCGGTTGCGTCATGGAAGCTCGAGATAAGCCGGATTCGAGCGATATCAACGTCGCACTCGTGTTTGCGCATGTAAATATAAAAGTCGAAGGAAATCCGTGTTGTGGATATTGTGAATAAGACAGGAAAAAATCCGTCACTTTTAACCAAAACTCTGCTCTTAGATTGTTGCTATTTTCTCGAAACTTGCACACTGCATAGGCTAATTAGTTTTCATGAGAATCGCAAGTTTTCATTAAAATCTATTATACCATTGCAAGGCATCGAGCAAGCATTCAAAATTAGTGGAATATCGAAAATGGACACGGGACTTCACGGATTCTTTTCTTTCTGCAGGGGCCGCAGTCTCCCTTCCTTTTTCAGTTTCCGATTCCTCTTCAGTAATCGTCCGTAGCTTTGCTTCAACTGAATGAATTTGAATGAAATTTCAAAGGGATGTTGATAATTTATTAGTCTATGCGCAGTACAAGTTCGTGATCAACAGAGGCGCAACCAAACACGAGTTTTGGGGGAGTTACACTGCCCAGGAATCAAAATAAATTATTGGGCCTGCTGGGGGTTCGAACCCCCTCAACTCCTCTTTCCCCCTCCCCCCCTTCTTGGTTGTGCCGTTGGTATTCAATTACAGGGTGCGCCATAAGTCTTTTGACAAAATTAAAATGATGACAACATAACAACGGAACAAAATTTATTTTTTAGAACTTAGTCACATGATTCACTAAAGGGAAACAAGCAAAAGTTCACAGTCTCATTCGAATCGTCCACCGCCTGCATCCACACAGGCTTTCAGTCTCAGACGCCAAGAATCGATGACTGAACGAACAGAATCCATTGGAAGTTTTTTCCACTCTCGCAAGATGGCGCATTTGAGAGAGTGCAAACTTGTGTGACAGTTAACATTGATCCTGGCTTGCAATGTCCCCCAAATGGAATAATCCATGGGGTTTAAGTCTGGAGATGAGGATGGCATTTCCACTCTCGCAAGATGGCGCATTTGAGAGAGTGCAAACTTGTGTGACAGTTAACGTTGATCCTGGCTTGCAATGTCCCCCAAATGGAATAATCCATGGGGTTTAAGTCTGGAGATGAGGATGGCCATTCTGATGTGTTGATGAAATCGGGAAGATTTTCTTCGCACCATGCTTGGTTGATTTTTGCACTGTGAGAAGGTGCGGAATCTTGCTGGAATGTCCACCTCCGGCTTTTGAACATCTGCTCCCCTGTCGGCTTCACAATCTTCTGCAGAATCTCCTGGTTGTAATACTCTTTGCTTACTTTTACGCCAGGTGAAATGAAGACAATTGGAAATTTGCCTTCTGCTGATATGGCCGCCCACACCATGATGCTGCTGCTTGACTGAAAGTGCTGCACGTTCCTTGCTGACTGGGGAATATCCTCAACTGACGAGGCATAGACTCGATCATTTTGAGCGTTCAGCTGCTCTTTCACATGGAAGATTTTCTCATCTGAAAATACGATGGATTTCACTCTCTGAATAGTGAAACGCCGAAGGAGTCTTTTGCAACGAAGAAGTCTGGCAGCCTTTTGCGCAGCTGTCAGTCCATGGACACGTCGTCTCTTGTATGCACGTAGGCCAAGATCTTCATTGAGCACTCGCCTTAGAGTTGTGCATGATGTGTGCAGGTCCCGAGCCATCTTTCTGACAGAACGTCGGCAATTTCTCACAATTCGCTGTTTTACTCTTTGCACAAGCTGTGGAATGCGAACAGAACGAGGCCTTCCCGTTCTGGGTCTGTCAGTGATGCAGCCACATTCCCTCCAGCGTTTAATAGTGTAAGATATAAATTTCTCACAATTCGCTGTTTTACTCTTTGCACAAGCTGTGGAATGCGAACAGAACGAGGCCTTCCCGTTCTGGGTCTGTCAGTGATGCAGCCACATTCCCTCCAGCGCTTAATAGTGTAAGATATGAATTGCCGTGAAATGCTGAAATGCTGCAAGGCTTGATATATCTTTGCTTGAGAGTCACCTCGCTCATGTGCGCTGACAATCAAACGTCGTATATCATTTGGCATTCTGAAAAAAATGAACGATATGTCACAAGGCTTTCCGTATGCAGCTATGTTCAGCACTGATAAGGAACTACCAAAGTACGAAGTACAAAGTCTTTGCGGTATGTGCATTGGATGTACGGTCACGGTACATTTTGTCAAAAGACTTATGGCGCACCCTGTACAGTATATCCTGCTGATAGAGGTGAATTGATTATTTAATAAAGCATCACTTGTCCAATTTCCATGCATATGGTCTTGAGAATGAATTTTTGTTTTAAAAAACTATACCAATGATCATGAAAAGTAGATAAGATAAGGCATTCTACACAATGATTGAAAATTGTATTCCTTGCTTCACATAAAGATCAAATGTTTGCATTGCTCACCTATGAATCCCCAGAACAGCTATAGAGTATGGAAGTGCTTGTATTTCAATGAACACATTTAGGATAGAAAAGGGAAACTTAATGTGAACTATTGTACATTAATAATTAAATGAGCTACATGCTTGGCTTTGATGCCTCCTTTCACTTTCTTAGCCCCCCTTGACTTGTGATCTTCAATAAACAATTGACAGCATTCACATGAAACAATTGTTCTTGCTAGCTTAAGCTTGATTTCCTTGAAAAGGTAATTACGCTCCTTAAGCAATTGCTTAGATGTCTGTATGTGTCACTGCAAAGCTTTCATCAATTTTTGTCATAGCCTATAAATTTGGTAAACTTGACATTTATAAAGCTTCAAAAATGTCAGAAACAAATTTATTATAAAACAGATATGAAAATTGAAACTCCCACATTGCAGCACATCAGTCATCCCTCCTTTTTGCTAGCTACCAGCCCATCTTATGCATCTCCAGATTTTTTTTTCTTCTCTTTGCTATTTCCCCTTCATATTGCCTCTACCATCTATGACATTAATAAATAGAAAAAGAGAAGCTCCATTCTGAATTGGGCTTTGCTCTGCTGATTGAATCATCAGTTTAAGATGTTATACCAACAGTCCTGTCCTGAAAGTAGGCTTGATCAGCCTCTCAGAGGTCATAATAGCTTGTACAAGAACTGTCCAGATGTATGAGTATAATGTATAGGATTTTAGGTAGGTTAAAATGCCTCCAGTTGTGCTTAACCCTTTAATGGATGATTTTTTACTTTTTGTTGAAAAAAATCTGGTAGGTTTCACTTACATCTTAGAATACAAGTCAATTGGAAGACATAAAAAAATCAGATTTGTAAGCAGTAGGCCAGAAAATGTTATTGTTGCTCATTTGCTACAAGCAGCAATTTCAGCTTTTTAACCCATGCTCCATGGATGCTAGAGAGCTCAGTCAGTCCATCACCATTTGTATATACCTCCACGCAAAAGAAAATGTTGAAGAAGGATGAGCCTGGACGTTGTATTAGTGTTAAGTTGAAGATAATTCCACCAAAAATGTCAATCTGTCACATGACCAAGCCAGGTGTTTTTAATTTGTTTGCCACCAGGAGTGTATGGCACCTAGTAACCGTATGGTTGCTTGGTATAAGGACCAGACTATTGCACATCTGCTACGAACTGATTTACTTCAGGAACTTGCTACCTACAAGTTCTAAAAATGTTTATTTAGTATGTAGCATATTTGCTGTCATGCATTAAAGGCTTAAATTTGAATGGTCACCATACTGAGAAGATATTTTGATTTTTTAATTTTGCCAATGAGTCCAGTATTCTGGAGACTCCATATATGAGGAAAGTTTGTCCAGTCATTGTCTGCTCTGCACATGTGATCATGTGACTGCCTGTAAGCCACAAGTGGCAATTGGTTTTGTTCTCTGCCAATGAAAAGCATTTTGTGTAAATGCATTGTGCAAATAGGGGTGATGTTGTACTGTTGTTGCTGTTGTGTGAAGTCAAGGTAAAAATATGGGGACTGGAATATGAAGGAGAGTGACTGGATCCCTTTTCAATAGATTGATTATTGATTACATTGGTAAAATAATGGTTTACCTTTTTCAAAGTATCTGAGAGCTAGGTGAGAAAGCATAAATGGAAGATGAAAGATCTTCCCCCCAATGGTGCTTTTTTTTAGTATCCTTCACCATGTCAACATGACCTTGGAAAAAGTTTCTGTTGGGTTTAGGAACACTTGGAAAAATATATAATGTTATCATTTGATATCCTGCCTTGTTCTGATCATCTTTTATCACATGCAGGTCTGCTACTGTGTCTGTGATGAGTAAAGTTTTAGTGCTCCTGTTTAAATTTTTTTTTTTCTTAAAGAAAAGAACCCCCCTAATGTACTTGTTATATACTTATGTTCCAGGGAAACTGCTGCAAATTTGCAACAACACTGGAGGTGGGATTCACACTGGGATCTCCCTGCTGTCATTGCTGCTCCTGGCTTCCAAAGAGAAAGAGATCATTGTCTTCGATACTATGGTAAGCCTTTGAATTTTAAACTTAGTTATCAAATTAACAAGATTAGCATATTTACTAACTCTCTTCCCACATCAGCACCTATAATTTTAGTTTTTCTTTTAGCAAATTTTCCTTGAGTAGTGGGGAGAGACTGATTTATACTAGTGTCTTAAGTGTTAGCAGAGTGTATGTCATTACTTCAGATCCCCTTATCCTGGCTGAAGTAGTTCCAATCCCTTCTCCTGTCCAGTTGAAATTGTAAAAGGATAGAAACTCTGAAACTGGATCAAACTGTATCATCCTAAAATTTGCAGGTGATACAGTCATATCTACCATCAACAGTGAAGAAGGTCTATTGACATACCAATGAGAAATTGAAAATGTTCAAACCTTGTTGGAAAACTCATGTATGCTCTTGAACCCAACAAAATTGCAAAAACAGTCTCCCATGAAACCTCCTGGAAAGAGCTCCTCCATTTCTCCATTTGTATTTTCATTTCACATGGAGTCATGTTTTCTTCCATAGAAAAAAAGTGTGATACAAAAGCTACAGTTGAGTTCAGTAGCAAGAGGACTGGCCCTTGAGAACCGCACTGAAATACTTTTCACTGCATCTCAAAATGGAAACATTTCTATCTTCAGAATGCCCGTAAGTATGATCTTCCTCTGCCATCTATGAGATTCAAAGTTGTCTGAAATCACGATTTTTTCGTTATTGGGAGTTGAATCAATTGATTTTAAAAACAAAATCACTTAAAGATGAAGTATTCCATGTTTTGGTTCTTCAATGCCAAATTTCCCAAAGATTTTATCACATTATGACTAAAGCTAACATTTCTATATGCATTCATATTTTATCATTCTTTAATCCCAGAAATACAAATATTGAAGCGTAATACAGATTGGATACAGATTGAAGTCACTTGGAAATATCAAGAAATCATATAAACCTATTAACATAAGACATCTGTATGAGAATTGTGCTTATTGCAAAGAATTTGAAATGTTTTTTTTCTCCATTGAAAGGAGAAATTTTTGCTGAACACATTGAGCCCTGCAGCTATCATATGACACCCATAGTGCATTCAAATTGCCAGGGCTAAGTGTAAACCCTGCTGACATGATGACTGGATTAGGGTAATTCTTTGAATGGCCAACATGGAATCATTAATGGCTATCAAATGACTATTTTTGAGACAATTTACAAAAAATCCTCATTGAGTAAAATTGCAATGAGAGAGTTGTTGAAGAAATTCAGCACCACAGGTTATCAGCAAATAGAAGCACTGTGGATATCCCTCTGGCAGGGAAGAAAAAGTACAAGAAGTGTAGGAAGAGTTTGTCAAATATAAATTGTTGTGGCAGCTGAAGTTTGGTATCACCAAGTAAAGTTTGAGTATGGTATTTAAAAATGTGTTTGAGCCTGAGTTGCAGCTGGCTTTTCTAAATCTGAAACTGTTTAATAGCTGCTGGTGTTTCTTACTTGGTCATCCAAAAACCACATTAATGTGTTCATCTATGGTGAAGTACAGCTTTTTTAAATCTGAAATAAATTAAAGCCATGGAATTGTTAATTTTCTGCCATGAATGCAGCTTCCATATTTTTCTATTAGATATTTTTTGTAAATAAATTTACACTTTTGTCTTCAAACACTTACACCCACTTCCATTGCCCTCCATCCTCTTGAATCCCAAGTATTTTTCTATGCATAATATTTTCTTTAAATATTGGCTATATTGCATTAAATGGTTTCTTTGAATTTATTGCTGGTGGTTTACTTACTCTTCTTTGTCCATACATATTGAACACTGGAGTTTCCAACTCTTTTAATAAATACATAATAAATAACACCTGAAATTCCAAATGTCCAGAAATTTGGACACCAGATTCTTGAGGTTTTACCAATTTTCAGTAAGTTCTGTTCCATTGCATGCTAGGGAGGATCACTATTACGATTAGGTGAAGCTTTGTTGGCAATCGAATTTCAGGTCTGGCATAATCTGATAATCAAAACAGAGGGATTGGTTTGATGTAATAAAAAGTAGCTTGTGTAGGCCTCTGATGAGCAGATAACAGACTAGCATGCATTCATATCTTGCCTATTATTTTGTGTATCATTTTCCAATGTAGCTCAGGCAGCTCATCTTCATGAAGCAAAAGGTCTTCTGCATGTAGACTGCTTTGTAATAGGAGACTCTAGTGATGTATTGCCAAGGTTTTGGAATTTTTCATTACTTCTTGGACACAATGGTATGCAATAAAAAAATTGCATTACTTATTCAATACATTTTTAAATCTTAAATAGAACCTTTCACCCACCTTAATTTCTTTTTCAATTTCAATTATTTTCATTATTTGGACCTGCTTACAACTTCACATGATTGGGAAAGTGAAAGTTTAGGTCTTAAAGTGGTTGAGAAGTGCTTCTCTAAATCACTGTATTAGACCAAAATTACTTAATAGCAATAAATAAGCAAATGCAATTATTTCTAAAACTCCTCAACTTTTCACATTTATTGTTTCTGATTTTTCAGGATGGTACCTTGATCAGGGAATTCCACATGACAAGGAACCTTCATCCTTCAGCCATAGCCATTTCTGAGGGAAAGGTATGTAAGGAATTAAATTATTTTGCAGCTTATAGAAAAAGGCATCATAGTTTGTATTATTGAATTCTACTCCTACAGATCTTCTTGTCCACGACAGCCGGACATCTCTGTGTCAGGGAATTCAGGGTACAATGAGGATCCTCACTCATGAATTTGCCATTGTGAAGTTATTCTTTTGCTGATTCTGGAAACATCTCAGGTTATGCTTTTGTTAATTTAGTTTCATAATAAAATGCAGACCAGAATGATGATGACCTGCAGCAATGCCATTCTTTCTTTTCCCAATACTTGAGAGCTATTGTAATTTGCAATCCAAAGTGAGTTTATTCATGCACAGATGGATCTCTCTATGCAATTTCACTGTAATTTCTCTGTAAGGCTCTCAAAATTTGATCTGCCCTGATGTTTCTGGCAATAACTGGATAAAAATTGCATATCAAAGCCATAGGATTGGCCCTTCGCTGTTCATTTGCATGTGATCACAAACATTGCCATTTTGGGAACAGTGGAGAAGTTGTGCATGCCATGAAACCTATTTTAAAAAATCAATGTTTTTTCAGCTATCATGGCTCATCTCTAACCCATTCATTCGCCCTTCATTACCTGCGTCTCAAATTGCTTGTATCTTCTTGAATTTGTTGCTTGCTTTTACACAGTGAAGGTCAGCAGTGTCTTTTAATTTCACAGATATCCAGCGCCAAAAATCCAAAGGACTGAATTTTTCTTTATTGTGCCATCCATCAGTGCATTTTCCTCCCTTCTATCTTTCATCACTTGCCAATGACCCTCACTCTGCTGGCCATATGCTGAGCTGCTTGATCACATGGAATTACATGTGATTTATGATGTGTGATCCTAAAATCTCATACAGTTGAGTGAATTCCTTTTTTTATTTCTCACTCACTCATCCCCTTAGGGTCTAAATTACAAGTGTACTGAAGCATAGGATCCACCTTCATGCATCACTTGCATCATGCGACCAATATTATATTTAGTAATTCCCTAGCTCTTTGAGCCCATAAATTTGTACTTTCAAAATTTCTCCAAAAAAGTTCAATTTTAAATTTTGTGTAAATTATTCCTTTTTGTGTTCACTGCATTTTTGCTTATTGCACGCTACTATTATCTATTATCTCCCACATTATGATAATGAAAGAAGCTTCCAAGATAATTTCATGGAAATGAATTTTTCTCTCAAAACATCGTGGAAGCATGAAGATAAGGGTTAAAGGCTCATGAATGCATTTTTGTAAACATAATTTAGAGGAAGGGTTAAAAAGAAGTATATTATAAACTGTTGAAATTTACCAATGATCTCGAAAGGCTTGAAGCATTTCATACATATGTTAGTCTCCTCCCAATGTGAAATATTATTTGAGGCTAATGAATGTTGGATCACTCCTCATTCAGGATGAGTTTATTCTTTAAGTTGTGGTTGAGCATGTGGGCAGCAGAATCGGCCCACCTTGACGTGGTGTGAGGGCTTAGATGTCCACCTCATGGAAGAGGTCTGGGAATCCTAGGGAGGTTTCCAGAGAGAGCCTGGGTCCCTGTTGTGGGGACCTGTAACCCTTGACCTTGATGGGGAGGCTGTTACACCATGTGGGCGACCACAAAGTGGCCGATTTACTTTTCTGTTTTGTATGGCATGAGGAACAATGATGAATAATGGTACTTGTTCTAACCTGCAGAAGAACCCTGGGTTTGAAATTTCACTGTATGACATATTTTTCTCAAAGAATCTGTGAAATTTGATTCAAACTCGAGTCTTTATAAATGTATGCATGGAAATGGTCCTTCTATCTCCTCAAAATGCAGGCATGTTAGTGGCGATGTAATATAATTTACTAACTGTAGGAAGTGTCAATGAACTAGGTACTAGAATGTGGAGGAAGAGTACAGAACATTTTGTATGTCTGAGTCAGAATAACCTTTATCTCTGATGCTGACCTTCAAGTTTGCAAAGAAATTAGCAAAACTCTGGAGAGGATTCTTCTTCCTGTGAATGATACCATTCAGCAGCATCTACCGCTTCTGTGGCTTCTTAGTCACAAAACGGCTTGTGAAGTTCAGTGCTAAGAGAGGAGTGTTGAGTGACGTTTCAGAAACCACCGAAAATGTTGATGCTGAGAAAATACATGGCAAGAGAAAAGTATCTGAGCCAGCCAAGAGAGGAGTGAAGAAACCTCGAGGATATGAGTCAGTCTGCGAAGGCATCTCTGACTTTTCCTTGGCTGATCAGAACATCTTGCTTGCACATTCCCACAAGCTGATGAGGAAAATCCACAGTCCAGAAGCCCTGTATGTGATACAGGAGGATGTTGCAAGTGAGGTTGGGTTCTATGCATTTTATATAATGGCCTACAGTGGAACGGTTGTGAATAAGTTTACAACCATTAGGAAAGTGGGTGGAGAGGATACAGCCCTTCATTTTGACGGAGAGAAATCCAATATTTGAAGTCAACCCTGGTCCTGGTATTTTGTCTCGGAACCTCCTCAAAGCAGGGGTGAAACGGCTTCGGTTGTTTGAAGATGAGCCTGCGTTTTTTCCTTCTACTCAGGTAATTTAGCAAAGAAGGCAAGAAGAGTGTGAAAAGTGAGTTTGTATTTCCTGTGTATTCTTTATTATCGCAAAAGTCAATATTCTCCCTTCCCTCCAGAGGTTGATCGAAGAATTTGGAAAAGACAGGATTGAAGTTGTGAATGAAAACTTCTTTGCGCTGCCCAAGAGACTCTTCCAGGATGCTGAAGAATCCACAATGGTTCGATTCCAGACTTTTTTAGGTGGTCTTCGTCAGTATCCATGGGATTCTACTGGTGGGTCATAGGCTCTTATATGCCTTTTAAATATTATTTGCGGAAGAACTATGGAATAACTATCTACCATTCTTGAACCCTTTGGGGGCTGCATGTACCTCGTAATACAGTAAACCTACCTCAGTCAAACCAGACAAGCTATCACTGGGTTAATGTCTCGATTTTCGTGTATCAAGTTATCTCCAGGTTTATCACAATCTTTTCAGTATTACGGCAACTTTCGCATAAAATACGGGCCAAACTCTGTTAAAGTCGAACTAGGCGAAAATTGGATTGAGGTGAGGAAATCAAAGGACCAACAAAGAATTTGAGTTTCTTAGGATCTTGGCAAGAGTGGCTTTCTAACTTCGGAGACCATTCTTTTTTGGTTTTGCCCTCTGTTTTGTCTGACGGTGTATCGAGAAATTGTGCGCTGAGTGTCAATAGTATTTCACCTGAAAATTGCAGCTGTATAACATTAATTGGAATACAGAGGTGAATCTAGGACTCCGATTTCTGTCGAGTCCATATATTAGCCACGAAAAATGTCGACATCGCCATGGCTAAATGAGACTGAATGGCCTTATATTGAAAACTAAAACTCTTGAGTTTGAACGGTGATAGCTTTATATTTTTCTCAATGCTTCCGCGCACTGGACTCTGTTTTGAGAGCGTACAGAGGGATGCATAGTATCTTCTTAACTTGGAATATTACTTGCAATAATTCCCCTCCAAAAAAAAACTAAGCAGTGGGGTATCCCCGGCTGGGAAAGAGGAAATCGTCCGGAATTCAGAGCCGCCTTGGGACTAAGGATGTTTTTCTCCTTTCCTGCCCTGCACCGCTCGTTTTTTCTTCTTTTAGAATGGAATTTTTTGCGTAGAATTTATTGATTGCCATTGCCAAGATGCATGGGATCAGTCGTGATATTAAGGGGACGATGTCAGTGACAGCCTTCTTACCGTTGAGTATGCTGTTGAAAAGACGGCTTAATTACGAATGAGTAAAAGTATATGCGAGATCTTTTTTTAAATCTGTGAATGACAATCCGCAGGAAACGTATGCGGTAGAAACTCAGTCCTAGCAGAAAGTACCTGGCATTGTTTGACCATTATACATGACAATGTACAAGACTGCTTTATGTTCATTTCCTTTCCGCTAGATTCAGCCCTGACTGTAATAGGGGTTTATCCCGTGCATCACAGCCCTACATTCCTTCGCTATCTGCTTTATATTTACCAGATGAGATCCGTCATTTTTCAGTTCGGGAAAGCACAACTCCTTCTCTGCATCAACCCTAATATCTACAAGGTGAGGAGACCCACGGAAATGGTGTGAAAACTTTTCCTTTGCTGATTGAGCTGTAATTTTCCATTCCAGAATTTAACTGCAGGACCTGAGGATGGATTCATCCGGTACCGCAGACAATCGGTCATATTTCAGCTTTTCTTCAATGTTGAGGAGCTGGAAGAATTTCCTCGATCTGCCTTCTTTCCTTGGTCTTATGATATGCAAAAAAAATCTGCTGCCAAAAACAAGAGAAAGGTGAGTCATTAGAACCAGAGAAGCTCTTAGGCTTTCTTTTTAACATGTGGCATGGCTTATGCTGACAATGCTTGGAACTCGTAGTATGATATATAATCATTATACCAGCGTACCTCTTCAACTTCTTATGGTACAGTCATGAAAAGTGGCAGCTGGCCTAAATGGAATGTGATAGGTGACAAAATTATCACGACACTGATCATTTTATAGGCTCTGAGCCGAGAGTAGCTATGAAGTTTCAGAGTGACGTTCGTACATGAAAGTTGTATTACACCTGGGGAAATGATTTATTAACTACCTTCACTGGGCTTGTTTACTTGCGTTGGCTCTATGCATCAATACGTCAGTCTGATCATATCACAACGATACGATATGTCACAATGATGCTTTCGCCTGGAATCATGATACGTTGGAAGTGTGACGAGAAAACGAGAATCAAAATTAGCTGGTACCCGGGGAGTTGGATATTTCTTGAATAGAGGGTACTGGAAGGGCAAGTGCTGGGAGAGAAATAACGGAAGAGTGGAACGAAGTGTATTGTTAGGCGACAAGTCTGTCTGCCCCCCTCCCCCCTCTTTTCTTTTCATTCTTCTTCACTCACCTGATCATTGGCAGTTTTTTTTTTCTGCAATAAACACCTGCAGTACCCGGGCTAGTCCCTCCATTCTGAGTCCATACTTGAAATCCAAGGTCCAACCTTGAAATTGACAAAAATGAATCAGCGGAGAAAAGGTGGATGGAAGAGTCATATGCTCTGATATAGGGTATAACACCCAATGATGGGCCTGTTAAGGGCGCGTACTCAGCGATGGGCCATGGCTCAGGAAAATTCCTAAGACTAGGCATTTGTAGCATGAACACCTCCGAAGTGTGTATGTGCTTGCATGCTAGCCTCCATTGCATCTTGAAAAATATATTGGAATTCGTATCATATTATGCCCTGCAAGAAGAGGGCAAACAGGCCCTTGGTGCTTTGCTTAACTTATTTTTTATTACTAAAAATACTATTTCTGGTCAAGACCGATCAATCAAACTGTCTCGCTAGTGATAACAGTAATTAAGTTTTATAAGTGCTGCTTCGCTTCAGAACTTTTTGGAGACTGACTACAGCCACCTGTGCCTTGTGAGGATTACACCCAAAAAAGAGGTGCCCGGTGTCCCTGTTGAGCAACTTCAGGAGTTGACTTTCTTCGTTTCGCACCACCTCCAGAGTCGCACAAGTCCCATCATACCAGCTCTTGAGTAAGTCCATGGATGTTTATTTTCTGAACTCTTTCCTGGAATATTATTTTATGCATTTTTTGGAGATATTGATGTATCTCAAGGAATCATGCTTATGATTTCTTGAAGGAAGTGGATCCCTGGATGTGGCCCACGATTGATAATCAAAGGCATGACCATCTACTCTCGCTTTGGAGATCTTACACCTGGAGAAATCCTTGACCTCTACAAAGAGTTCTCATCATGGCCTGAATACCAGCATTCGACGTTTCGAGCGGCCGTCCTCGATCAGCATGCTCAGCATGACTCTCACGAAGATGCTCAAGGTCATAGTGCAGATGATGTGCAGGAGCATGGACAATAAGCGTTGCTCATTGCCACTTTGCTATTATTTTTTGCCATTCAATAATTAAGTTTATCCTTGATAAGACATGACTTAATAGTTGAAGCCAAACATAATGCAGTCAAAATGATCATATAATGACTGGGTCTTTGTCGAATTTTGTCCTGTAGAACTCCAAATAGTTACACCAATTATATCACTCCTCCATTGCAGACCTATCAAAAGTCCCCATTCAAATGAACAGAGCACCTGAATACTATCACTACGTAAAAGTTATGGCCATCATAGGGCTTCTCTGTATTCTATTTTCTGCTTAAACCTCTTAGTGCCACGCTTTCCGGCGAGGGATGTGTGAAAATTGCCACATGTTTTTGCTGAATATGTAGCGTTTTACTAGATATGCCCAACATAGCCCTTTGTCTGCTCTTTAAGGGACTAGTAGCGAGAAAACTTCATTCGCAACCGAAGTGGAACATGCACCCCTGTATTTCCACATGACTTGGACACCATAACCCTCCATCTACGCCATAATGCCGTTAGACCTGCAGTTGAAACGCACTGGTGCAAATACAACAGCAAAATGCCTATAGTGCATGCATTTAGTTGGGACCAGGGTCACGAATGGAGTCGTCATTGCACACTGTATTCTTCCCTCTAAAGGATCTTGTTTGTCTTTGGTTCTACATGAGATTGTGGACTCCCTAAATCCTGGATCGTTGCAGCCCTTTGTAAATGACAATGGAAGACTCGTGCAATGCGTATAAAAATGGGGTGAAATCCCCAGCGATGGGCACGTTAAGAGCCTGTCCTCAGCGATGTGCCACAGCGCATACAAATTCTGATAACTAAGAATGAGCAGCATGCAATGCATACTTAGTTGTTGAAATTATTATGCATCGTTGCCCATCACTGGGTATTTTACATTACTCCTGACAATCTTGAGCACATGAGGCTTTTTGGATATGCATTATGGTCAATGCCTATGAGTGATTAGAAAAACTGGTGTGAGGAGAGCGGATGTAAAGAGAAAAGTCTCGTGTACGTCGAACACAGCAAAGCTTCATGAGCTCTTGCTCGGAATATACAGATTTTCTTCGATATATAGAATAATATATATATAATAAACTCGAGTTTCCCCCAATACGATATCCTGTTCCTTATTGCAGAAAGAATTATGCCTGAATTACGTTGAAACTCCGTACGGACCCCGTAGAGCAGTGATGAGCAACGCGGGGATTTGCCAACTGAATTTTTTTTTTTCCTCTTGTCCCGAAGAGCGCACGTGCGCTCGAGGATTCGGTTGCCCACTGCATGAGATACCGAAGCAAGAAATATAGCATAAATGCTTTATTTCCGCTGCAAATGTCCCCTCGCTCTCTTCTTGGTCAGTGTGTCACTGCTCTCGGAGCAAGCGGCTTGCTTGGTATTTTGCCCAGTAAAAATATGAGAAAATTTTCACAATTAGTTTTTCTTTGCATATCATTAGCATCGACTATTTTACTACCTGGTTTACAAAGCCGGGCTTAAGTTTTTTTTTGGTAATCTGCAGACATAAAGCCTGTAATTCAGTATGAAAAAATATATATTTTACATGCGGCGCGCCGGGAACCTGAAAGGTTCACTTGCGGCCCGCAGTCAAACAAAGGTTGCCCATCACTGCCATAGAGCTTACTCTTAGAAGCCTTTCAAAACCATCGTAGAGCCCCGGGTTGACAGTCACGTTGTTTCCTTGCGAAGTCACATTGTGTGCGGGGAAGAAGAGATGCGCAGCGTTTTCGAGGATTCAATCATCGATTCTGTATCCCGTACTCAACAACTGCACATGTACAGTACATTAAATCATCCGCGCTTGAGAGTTCTTGAGGTATTTAGGGGCTGAACCGGTTCTGGTTCGATGACCTCCCTCTCTTACAGATGTAACATGTAAGCTAAATATGCTATTTCCCCATTGAAATCCAATAATGAAAATTATCGTGATGTTTAATCCAAGGTCCTCGTGTCGTGTAACTCCAGCTGCGCGACATCCCTTTTTGTGGCAAATTACGTATGAACCCATAAGATACTGTAGTTCAGTGATGTTTCATTCGTTCTTGCAAGTGCAATCAAGCAGAATTCCTTCTCTCTTCGCATGTCGACTTCCACTTGCATGACAACCTATCCATATTCGTAGCCGGTCTGCAGTCTTTCTTCCGTATTCCAGGCCGTTGCGGCGAACTCGTCACCGTTCCCCATCATTAAGCAAGGAAAGTCTACATGCTCGCGTGACATTGTGCCTCGTTCTGTGAGAAACTAATGAATCGATTGTGCCCCTTCCATCAAGCGAGATTACCTCGAGATCGGTGACACGAGAGCGGATGACAAGTACGGGCGGAAACGGCCCTCGACGTCCCTGCCCAGACCCCCAACTTCCTTCTTAGCTCAAGTTATGAGACGTTTGGGAGGCAATTCTGTCGGGGGAGAGGAAGGGGAGAATTTTTTTTTTTTTAAGAACGCACGAGACGAATCGCAGCTTGAATCGGGCCTGCGACGCTGAAAACATCCAAGTCTCGCCGTTCTATTTTGGTGCCTTTTGTATAAGGCAGTAAATAGCTTCCAGAGTTAGAGGAAATCGTCTTACGAAAGTTTAGGTTTTCTCTCTCTCTCTCTCGGTTTTAATTTGAGAGAAGATAAGATATTCTAAAAATTATTTTAATTAAAAAAATTTATACTACGGAACTGTTAAAAGAATGAAGGGATATTATCGAAATTTCAATTTCGACTGACGAAAATTCCCTGAAACTAAAAAATAGGCTTCTCCAAAACTCCTTTCCGCGGTAAGAAACAGCCTCGTAAATGTGGCCTCTAACAATGTCTAGTTAGTGGACAATGGGTAAATGCAAGGGCATGCGCATTCAGAGGAATCATGGTCACTTCGACTTTCTTGTAGTCTTCAAGCTCTCGAATGTGTGGAGACATCAGAGATTTCCGAATTCCTTCCTTTGATAACTAGTACGCATATTTTTTTTAAGCCAATAAGAGCCAATAAGAATAAATTTTTAAGCCAATAATAATAAATAATAAATAGAATAAAATAACATGGTCAACTCCAGTGAAGTAGTCAACCCGTTCACCAGAGGACTTTCATCATCTCATTGACTATTGCATTCAACTGTCGAATCTGTGGACGATTTTCTCATGCTTTCAAACATTAGTTTTTGTCGAACAGCGAAAGTGGGGATAGGGGCACGCAAAGACAGGTAGAACTGGCTTGGAAACGGCTTCTTTCTGTTTTCAAGAAAGGTAGAAAAAATGAGGTTCAATTCAAGGGCACGTTTTGTAAACGAATAAAATCCTGTTGAAAATAAGGACATCTTTCTAAGCACGCGAAATTGATTCGCCTCAGCTGGAGTTTCTGTCCGCAAAAAAGAATTCCGAAGCCAAAATTTAAACAATCCTGAAGCAATGAACTGAACTTTCCGGACACCCTGCGAATGATTCTGGAGGTTGATTAATTTTCAGTTTGTGGAGGCCGTAGAGATTACGGGAAAAGTAGGGACCTCTTTCTTTCGAAATAGAAATGAATCTCAAAAGCAACGAGAAAAGGCCTTTTACGAAGGCATTTTGTAGGTGTGTTCGCCGTTTTTGGAAACCTATTTGGTGTCTATCACTAATTGGAAGGAATTTTCTCCAATCAGGACAGTGGTGATACGCGAAAAGCGCCTGGATTTATTCAGAGTCGATGGAATCTGTCTTTATGAAGGGAAATTCGTTTTGAAAGCATGTGCATGCCAGAAAGGCAGGAAGTCATGCGGTGACTATGGAGGACGGTATCGTACAATTTCGAGTGAGCATCGCCGGTTGAATGCCTGACGGTGAATGTCCTGTCGTGGAGGGTCGGGGCATTCCCCGGCGGTCGGCATCGATTTGCCTGGGACACTGTTTGCGGCGAGGAAAACTGAAAACATGAGCTTCAATTCTGTCAATATTCTCAAGGAAATTCTGCTCTCGGGTGATGTTTTTCTGAAATTTATTTAGAGCAGGACATCATCTGAAGATGCCGAAAGCGGTTGGATGAATAAATAAATAAATAAATAGAGAATTTGAATCGGAGAACCTATAAATGCAGTTGATGAAAGCGTTTACCGGAGGGAAAAAATGTTACACACAAGAGAAACATCTTCGTGACACCATCAAGCGTGAAGCACACCCTAAGTGCATCTTGAGAGCATAGGTCTACGGAACTCGCGACCTGTTCGATTACAAGTCGCGACGCAATTGAGTTTCATTGCCTTTTGTGCTAGAAATGTCTCGTGCAAAATCACTTTGCTGTGCATTGACGGTGAGCAGCGTCAGATTTCATGTGCAAATAAAAGTGTGAAATTGAAAATTCACAACCTGTGGAGCGGACTGCGGTTGCATGTAAGATGTAAGCGCTTCGGTGATCGTTTTCTGTTACGACGTTTAGTCTAAATATTTCTGAAATGAGACGACTGTGTTTGGAATGAATAAGACATGAAACTGCTTGCTGCGTCCAACTGCGAACGTTTTTAGCCGTGGAAAAATATATTTTCGGAACTACTGTGAAATTCGTTTAATGCAGTCCCCCAACCCCCACCCTCAACGTCATTTGTCGCGCAATTCAGAGGAGGGTATTTTTTTGTTTTAACATTTTCTAAACAGTGCCTTTTGCTTCAAACAGAAAAAAAAATTCCAGAGAACACTAGCGCATGCATGCCTTTCATATGTATGGCAACTGTCATTGTTAATGAAAATTAGTGTGTAAGTTGTCTTGCATGTCGGATTGCATTGTAAGTCATGTATTTGCAGGATAGTGGATGACGGGTATATTACTCCGCGCGTTAGGAACCGTCGGGTACATCCTGATTCAAGACCAAACTCCAATACCTGATACTACCAAAAATTTTCTACTGTATTGGTCAGCTGCATCAAGCTGAAGAAAGAATTTAAAAACTTTTTCTTTATCATTCAATGCGGGAAGTTTGCGTTATATTACAGATGCGCGCTGCGAGGACGAAACTCGACTCTTCGAAGAAGTCAAAATTTACTTGAATTCATGCAAACGAGTTGTTCATTATGGTACTTGATGCTCTGAGGATCTTATTCTACAGGTTCGTCAAAGCTACGTCCACGACAAAAGTGGAGCTTCCACCAAGATGACAGACTGCGAATTGCGCCGTAGTCGTGAAGATGACGATTTTGTTTACTTTTCCGGTGCCGTCATAGGCGAAATCGTAAGGACAGCCCTGCACGTCCTTAGCTTGCGACTTCGACCCGATGCAAACGTTCAGATTAGTCTTCCAGTCGAAGTTGGGGTCGTAGTATGGAGTCTGGGTCGATGCTCCCGTGGTCGAGCAGACTTTGTTGTTCACCGTGAAAAGGACTTTCTCGGACTGGGGCAGGAGCAGTCCCCACAAGTACTGGGGATTGGGGGTTTGGGTGCAAGGGATGTAGTCCTTTCCGTTTCCCGAGGAGGAGTAAGTCGTGCCCAATGTCTGGTATCTGTAGGCGTTCTGACCTTAATTTGACGAAGGAAACTTTTTATACGATCCATGGGCTTATGGAGTTAAGAGGTAACGTGCTTTAATTTCTCACCAGAAAAAAGCAGAATGTCGGAGTCCAATTGGAAAGCTCCATCTGGGTTATTTCCAGGAAAATTAGGAAACAGTTTGGTTAGGTCCAAGCATCTCCATAGCCCGGAACCGAGGTCGTTCACAGACCCATACAACCGAATCTGCTTGCTGCCGAAGAATATATAGACTCGGGTCTTGCCCGACGGGCACGCTTGCCCGGCTAGCGATGCGTAGTCCCTGGCAAAAAATAGTATACTGGGATTCAAAATTTCCAGCCGAGGAAAGTCAACTAATTCGTGCTTAATCCAGTTACTAGAAAATCACGTTTCTACATGCCTCTAATCAGGAGCATGAGCAACTCACCCGCAGTAGTGAAGAACAACTTTAAGAGTATTGTCGTTGCAGTTGGACTTCCCTATATCAGAGGCACTGATGGGATCCGGAGTCGTAGTCGTTGTATCTGTAGTTGTCGGAGGCAGTGTGGTAGTCGTGCTTGTGGAAAGTGTGGTAGTCGTAGTTGTGGGAGAAAGCGTAGTAGTTGCGGTGGTAGGAAGGGTGGTCGTCGCAGT